TTCAGGGGGCTGGAGAGATGGCTCAGTGGTTAAGAGCACTGACTGCTCTTGCAGAGGACCCGGGTTCAATTCCCAGCACCCACATGGTGGCTATGAACCATCCTTAACTCCAGTTCCAGGAGAATCCGAAGCCTTTTTCTGATCTCTGTGGCATTGCACAACATGGGTGCACTCACATACATACAGACAATATACTCATAAAATGAAGATAATAAATAAAAAATTAAAAAATATTTTATTATTTTTATTTTATGTGTATGAGTATATTCCCTGCATGTATGTAAGTGTACTACCCTGTATCATGCAATGCCCATGGAGGTCTGAAGAGAGCATTGAATTCCCTTGGAACTGGTGTTATGGATGGTAATTAACTGCCATGCGGGTGCTGGGAATCAAACCCTGGTTTTCTACAAGAGTACCCAGTGCTCTTAACTGCTGAGCCATCTCCCCAGCCTGGAAATAACCATATTTTGATAATGCAAGTATCTATATTTCTCTTTGAAATAAAAGTATTATTTTCAACAGGAGCATTATATTTGTAAAGGTATTTTATGAATTGTGATGTATATAAATATTTCTAATACATTAATTTATCTGTTAGTAATTTTAATTTGCATGTTAAATTTATTAATTTATTTTATTTTTTAAATGAATGTTTATGGTTTTTCATACAGACACAGTTTGAAGCTATTTAGATCCTGAATCCACACCTCCCCACTTCCCTCTGCCCAATTTAATATACTTTCTTATGTATATATAATATGACCTATAGTCTGATTTGTGTCCCCAAATATCCTTTAGTGTGGGTCTATCCACACTAAGAGTCCCATCCCTGGAAGAAACTGACTCTCCTTTTCCCAGGAGACATCAGTTGCCAAAAGTTCCTTAGGTTTGGTTGGGATTTCTTGTTCACTTCTCCATGTCTGTAGTGGGTTTTATCTGGTTTGAGCTTACCGGGGACTTGTGCATGCTGTCACCACTGCACCATATAAGTAACTGACCAGTTTCCTGGAAGACTCTGTTTCTTTGTGTTCACTTACCCCCTTTGGATCTTACAGTCTCTCCACCTCCTTCCCCCAATGATCCCTGAGCCTTGGTAGGCAGAGGTACGAAACAGCTGTCCTACTCAGGGATTGGCCTCTTGGTCAACTGTGGGTTTCTGTGTTAGTCATCATCTGCCGCATAAGGAAACTTCTCTGGTGAGAGCTGAGAGATTCATTCATCCTATGTGTAGAGGTTGTATTGAGATGTGTCACTTAAGACTATGTGCCTCACAGAAACTTATTCTTACTCTCTTCATTTGGCCAGTTCTGGAATTCTTAAGTCTCCTGGCTCAGTAGTTAAGAGTACTGACTGTTCCCATAACCAATATGGTGGCTAACAACCATCTGAAAGTCCAGTTTCAGGGGATCTGACTCTCCCTTGTGGCCTCTGCAGGCATTGTGTGACATGGGTGCACTTGCATACATTCAGGCGAAGTACCCATAGGCATAAATAAAAATAGGTCAAATCATTTTATTAATTTCTTGCCTTGGTGTCTCATAGATTTTTGTCTTCTGAAAGATTTCAGAGACAACACAAAATTTAGTAGGTGAAACTTGACTGGATCTTGATCACTTGAGTTGACTAAATGCTAAATAATTTTAGGGAATTAGTACTGATCTTTCTAGATCTATAAAGGCAGTGTGGTTATGTAGGCAATGCCTTTTTCACAGGAGACTCTTACTGGAGGACACAGGGTAAAGAACTATGATACTCACAACTTGTTTTCCAATAGTTTAGGGAAAAATAGATAAATATATTCCTAATTAGTGAATACAGATGGTAGGTGTAGGGGTGATCCTTATAAACTTTTCCAATTATTCTCTACATTTAAGTTTTTTTTAATAAAAGAAAATGGGAAAAATCTAGTTTACTACTGTCTCTGAGTTTCATAGATTTGTTTGACGTTCCATACATTCTGGTAGAACTGATGATTTTACTAAAACATCTATTCCTGCTTTTATCTTTCTCTGAAAAGTCATATTTAAGCCGAGTAGCCTATTATGGTTTAAAGGGCAGATACTCCAAAGCAATTTTGAATTGTAACGAGGCCATCAGACTTTATCCTGAGAGTGTGCATGCCTACATCTGCAGAGGAGTTCTGAAATACTACAACAAGGTAGGCCAATTCCTGCCTGGTTTGCTTAGCTTTACAGTTGACAGACTCTCTCATTGCTGACTAGGGACTCACTTCCTATTTTTTACTTTTGATATGTGATAGGAGAAGCACTGTGGCATGCACCAGACTACAGAGAACACTTCCTTACCATGTATCACTTCATTGTTTTTCACAAAAGAGTAATATTACTTCTGACTTTACATTTTGGGTAACATTCATTTTTATTTAAGAAAGTAGTAAATATTAATTGTAGGCAATTTGGAAATTACAGAAGAGAATAAAGAATGATTATCCTGACAAAAAATTACAATTCCTGAAAACTTAGTACTTTCATTTAGTCTTTTTTAAAATTTTCATGATAATATGTGACATTGATTATGTTATTTATATAATTTGTGTTATTCCCTGCTTTAATAATCTTTGAAGAATGCATACATTCCACTATAATTTATTTTTTATTTTCGTGATGTTGGAAATTGAACCGTTTCATATTTTTACTACTTATTTTAAATAATGCAGTTATATATGGTGAGAACAAAATCATTGCTCGAGCTTTCTGAGCAAAAATCCCTGGGTTAAAGGCTGTGAGCAGTGCCCTTATACCTGGTGCTGTGTGGACACATTGTTTCACTTTTCTTTTTTGGCCTTTCTTTGTAACTGTTTCATGTGCAATATTGTGCAAATAACATCTTAAAGCAAAGGCGAGACCTCGCATTATGTGCTAATTTCATGAAAATTACTATGTACAGAAATGGATGCTGTGAAGTGTCAGAGGAGAATGAGAGAGGATGAGATGTGAATGAGAGTGGAGGGAGCCGTGATTATAGGATAGGACAGACAGACTGACAGGAGTTGGCAGCATTTGCCAGAGGAAAGCAGGTTGCCTGTTTGTTTTATAATCAGCATGATATTTTTCATTCCGTATAACAAAATTGGTAATAATTGTCTAAGCCGAAGCTACTGACATCTCTAACTTTATTTGTAGGTGAAAGTAACTAGAAGAATTCTTAACAGGATCTTCTTAATGAACTCTATGAAAGATTAGCTTGAGTGTGTTAATTTCACAGATGACTCAATGAATTGTCAAATGAATGCTTCAGTAACTGATAAGTTCACAGATTTATCTCACAAACTTCAGTCTATTATGACTATTCTCATTCAATTATGTTTTTTTTCTTTTAGAGTTATAAGCTCGCTATTACAGACTTGACTACAGCTATCAACATGGACAAGAACAGTTATATAGCATTTTATAACAGAGCACTGTGTTACACCAAAATAAGGGAACTTGAGATGGTAAGTAACCATGTTAGTTACATTTTACTAAACAAGATATAATTAATTTCTATCATTCCCTGTTTCAACAATCTTTGAAGGTTCAAAGCATTTAAGAAACAACATGTATTCAATGGCTTCTTGAGTTCAATAAGCAATCAGTAAAAATATTTAACAAACAGCATGTTAAAGCATTTGTAAACATGTTTAAAGCAGCTGTATTTTCTCACTTCTGCTATAACTTTGAGAACTGAAACTTGAGAAACTACAAAGAATTCTTTAAGACAATATTGGTTTCTTTGCTAGTGCTGTTGTCTTTTTTTTTTTTTTTTTTTTTTTAGCCAGTTTTTTTAGTTTTTTTTTTTTTTTTTTCTTTTTTAGCCAGTTTCTGTACTGTCAATTCATTTTATCATGCACACATGTGCATTGAAAGGCTCATTACAATATAGTTTTCAAGCATCACTTGAGTAAATGTTCTACTGATACACTGCTGTATGGGATTTTATAGCAGTGGTTGCTAGCAATATGGCTTTATGATTTGAACCTGAACCAGAGCAGTTCGTGGACACATTCTTTGATATAGTCTGAGACTGTGAAGTATCAGGGAGTACAGAGTGATGGGCTCCACCTGCAGGACCCTGGGCCTGCATTTGTCTGTGTTTTAAAGGCTGCTACAGCAACCCTATTTCTCCATCAAACTCATTTATTTTTCTAATCTTGCCCCTGTTGTTTCAGCCTTTGTCAATGTGGTTGATTTCAATGAAAATTTCTCAGTGTGATCAGCTCATCTGAGGTTCTCTGTGTTGTGTCCCTGTGTCTCTTAATTTCTGCCCCTTCCACCACAATGGAGCATTCCTTTAAAATACTTCACATTCCTTCTGTTCTGTGTGAACACATTCCTTAGTCTCTCTAAAACTCACCTAAGTGTGCTCAAAGCATCTAGAAAATTAGAAGCCAAAGGAAGACTTTGAGAAAACTCCTTTCCACCCTGGAGGATGCAAAATTTCTGGCAACCAAACTGGCAAGTTTGGTTTCCTTTAGAACTGTCGACAAATGAATGACATTTTTTTTAACAAGGCCTCTGTTAAGATCCAAAGAGCTAATTAAGGATCATTTATCAGTTACCTGCAAAGCAGGTATCTTTGAAGACTCTCCCCACATCTTGCCTGAAGGTAACCCAGAGGCTTAAAACAAAGGGCCTAGCAAGGGAAGAATCCCCACATTTTGTTATCTTAGTTGTGTAGAAGAGCCACTTCCTGGTTAATGAAGAATATGCTGACCAATCTGATTAAAGTGACACCAAAATAGTGACAAAGGTTTCAGGACCCCAAAGCATTTCATCTGCTCATTCTAAGACACAGAAATGAAAGTAGGGAAAGGTTGGAAAAACTCATCCAAGTAACACTGGGAGTAGAGACCTGCAGAGCATTCATAGGTGTTGTGAGCAGGACTAGAGGATATGAGTTAAGAGTATTTTAGTCCTTGCTGTCCCCTATAGCAACAGAGTATGAGGAGCCATGCAAATAGGTTTTGATATTTATTGGCACAAGAATAATGAACATGATATATAATGCAGTCACCAGCAAGCCAGTTTGGGTAGTTATCAATTTAGCAGTTTAGTTCAATCATAAGCTCTACTCCGCCTGTTGTTATCTCTCCCAGGGACCTCACCAGTCACAAGTTCCAGTGGTGAGTGTAGCTTGTGGTTGATGTAGGTTCGATGGTGCCATGTCTCTTTGGCCTCCGTGATGGGAAGAGTTCAGAGACCCTACACGGTCCGGTCTGGAGGTGGAAAGAGGATCTGTGGGCAGTAGTTCTTTCCTCAGTCAGATGAGCTCTGAGGACTGGCCTCTGAGCCTCTGCTTATATTGAGAGTTTGACGTCACTGCTGACGTAGTCTCTCGATAAGCGGCTGTCAAGTAGTTCGATAAGCAGGTGTCTGGTTGGTTGATCGCCCGGGAGCTTATCACTAGCTAACATGCCTAACTTTCTATTCCTAAGTTCATTTCACAAATCATAATTTCACACATTTCATAATTTCATACAATTTCATAATTCTTAGAGATTATTCAATAATCATATTCTAAAGCAATTCCACCTTGTTCATGTACTCTGTTACAGAATTTACATTTCTGCTCCTGACAACAGGTTTCTTTCTGGGTCCACATCCTTAAGTGCCTTTGTAAAGGACTAAGCACCTTTCTGTATGCCATGCTTAGGCATCTCCAAGGATATAGTTTCTCAAAAGCTCAACAAGATGGGTTTTGATTCCACCATTCTATATTAATAAAAACAATAGCATTTCCCTCTTATTTGTGGCTTAGTGTGTGACAGGCACTGGGCTAAATGCTTTTTATCAATATATAATCAAGGCACTTCTATTACAGGTAGAGATTGAGATCTGATGGGCACCACAGTAATTTCCAGGTTCTTGTGTCCCTGAACAAGAATTTGGACAGAGACAAGGAAAACGGATACTTTAAAGGGAGAAAGATCAAAGGTTCTATGATGCCAGAACCAGGCAATTGGAGTATTTGTACAGTGCCTACCTTTTCTGCACATGCTCTGCTCCATGTTGGTCTTGGAAACATGTGGGGGAGGGATTTGTAGTATGGTGTATTTTACACACTAATTTTGACCTCACTTTCTGCAACATTTGTCAACGGACTCAAACAATGTATTGAAAATTTAATATCCCTGTTTTATAGCTGAGGAGACAGGCTTCACATTAAGTAACTTTCCCCAAACTCAAAAGGTAGAAATAGCAGCTTATGGTGCAAATCCAGAGGATGCCAAGGCTCTCACCCTATTAATCAGAACCTTTTAGGCTCGGGGTAGTGGTGCATGCCTATAATTTCATCTGAGGTACAAGTATGAATTCAAGGCCAACACGTGCTACAAAGCAAACAGCTAGAGCTACATGACATGACCCTGTCTCAAGAAACAATAAAACAAAACACAACAGAAGAGAAAAGCCCTGCAGTCTGCCCATCTGTACCACTCACCCTCATTATCTTCAGGGAACCTTACTTCCTAGAACTTTTTTCATCCCATGTCGCATGTTCAGTTGCCCAGTAGATCTCTAGGATATCTTACAGGCTTTCCATTCTGTGAGTCTGTGGAAGAAGTCAGATAATGTGTGACAACACTGTAGATGATTTTTTAAGTGTTACTAATTATTTTTATAGGCCTCGCAGTGCTTATTTTTATTCTACAGTATACACATAGTATCTCTAATTACACAGTGTCTGTAGACACAATTGCCCAATCAGGAAATGGGAGCAGGGTTATAAGCAGAAAGTGACCTCCTATTTATTTGCCATGTTCAGTTAGCAGATAATATAGGCATATAAAAGTTGACTCTTCTGATCAAATCATGTGGCATGTTTTGAACAACATATTCACTAGAAAAAAAAATGAAGAATTCACCCGTTTGAGGTGCCTCTAGTGCTTACTGCAAAGTAGGGATCAGTAAAGCTTTGCCTATTCAATGAGAAAAAGATCAAAGTAAAGATGCGCTTCGAGTCTTCATTCTTTCAGCGTAGATGGCTGTCTTTAAAAACAGTGAGTCCACAGGGCCTAGTGGTGCAGGCCTTTAATCCTGGCTCTTGGGAGGCAGAGGCAGGCAGATCTCCCTGAGGTCTGGGCCAGCCTGGTCTCCACAGCAAGTTCCAGGTTAGCTGTGGAGACAGGGAGACCATGTCTCAAAACAAACAAAAGAATGAGTATACCTATTAGAAAATTTAGATTTCCTACAAGTGCTTATTCTCTGGTTTTATTATGACTCATTTCTGAATTGTTCATTTAATTAAAACTTGCTTGTAATGCCTCTCACATGAAGGCAGGGTGCTTGCCACCAGATTCACAATATGAACAAATTAAATAAACACTGACCTCATAGAGTTTAGGTTTCAGTGAGGAAGGCAAGAAAACACTAAATATAATTTAAATTTTACATAGTAGGCACTGCTTCTCCTCTGAGAGGAAGGATGAAGTGGGGAGAGGGTGTTACATGGCGTGCTACATCCCTTCCTTCCAGTCCTTCCAATCCCCAAGAGCATGTGTGGGTGAGTAACAGCATGTGAACTTCAAGCACATGAGAGCCACTTAGTTAAAAGCAGCACTCTCCAGAATCTGTAGCTAATGTGGCCCTTCAAATCTTGCATTTAATTATTTTTAACCCAAATTATAAATTAGATTATAGAACCAATTCTGATATCCCATTTTGGATATAAACACAGTCTTAGGGCCATGAAGTAAGGACCTAAAAGACTGCATCTTGTTTATATGTGATTATTTTATTCTTAGGCACTAAGAGATTATGGAATTGTGCTGCTGCTTGAAGCTGCAGAAACTATAACATTAAATAGCTACATTAACCGTGGACTCATCTACACTGAACAAGAGCACTATGGCTTTGCATTGGAGGTGAGCCTTCCTGTGGGCATGGGGAAATGAACCCACTTGACTTTGAACATCCTCTTGAAAATCTGTGAACAAGTGTTCATTGCTACCTAATGGCAGTATGAATGAGTGACAGCTTTAGCAAGTACTGGATTGAAATACTTGGAATACTTAAAATAACTTTTACAAAATCCAAGTACTTTTTACTTCACTTTTATTATAGCTGAATGGCAAATTTGTTAAAAAAAAATTTAATTGGGACTGGAGAGATGGCCCACAGGTTAAGAACGCTGTTCTTGCAGATGACCCAGGTTCTAATCCCAGCACCCACATGACAGCTAGCAACTGTCTGTAGCTCCAGTTCCAGGAAATCCGACAGCCTTTTCTGTCCTCTGAAGGCATTGAACAGCACAGGTGCACTTACCTACATGCAGGCAATACACACATACACACAAAATAAAAATAATAAGCTAAAAATATTAAAAATAATTAATCAAGGCTGTTACACATAAAGCTCAGGTGTCTGACAAATAAAATGACATGTACATCATTTACCCGGCTCTGCAGTGCTCTTTCCAATTCACTGTTTCCCTGTTCCCTGTTGAAAATGTGTCACTGAATCAGTTTCAAACAGGGCAGGACATAGCTCTGCAGAATGAGCTACTGCGAACAGCCTTTTAAGTTGGTAGAAACAAGTATTTAGAATTGAACTTTATGTAGGCGTATTAAAAAGAAACAAGCAGCTTGAGATTTATTACATTATAGAATGAATAGAATTCATAATTCTCATTTTTAAATTTTATTATTTATTTGACAGTAATCTTTGGAATTAAAATTAAGAAACAAGGTAAAAATGAAATAGCAATTTTCAGTTTAATAATGGTAGTTTTATGTCTTTGTTAAATCTATGTAACTTTATATAGTGAAGTATTTTCTTGCTACATCCCAACTTTGACAGTGAGGCAAAATTTATAATTGTAGCCTAGAGAAGAGGAAACTAATCTTCAAAAGAAGTTAACTAAGGTCTTTGAACCAGTAAGTACTGGGACAAGGTCTGAACTCAGATCTCACTTGATTGTAAATGCTATAGTCTTTCAGACAAGATTGGGACATGAAGACAAGAGAGAGATTAAGGCAGTTGGAGGAGTTGAATCAAGTGAGCCAAGTGAGAATTACTCTTGACTCCTCTCTTTCCTCACTGCACATCTGACCCATTAGCAAGTTTAGTTCACTCCGTCACGGAGGCAAATTCTGAACTAAAGCAAATCTCATAATTGGCAATGCTATCTTCTTGTCAACCAGGAAATGCTAGGCCAGATCTGAAGTCAGATCTGAGAACAGAATCCCCTCTCCCTTAGTCTACTGCAGAAGCATACCATGGGCCTTTCTGCTTCACGCTTGCCCTGTGCTTTCCACTGTTCATACAGCAGCCAGCGAGACTGCTTAAAATACACAAAGTAGATCAAGCTACTCTCTGTTCAAGACCTTCGATGACTTTCCATCCCACTCTGAATAAAATCTGATCCTGACCATTGTCAACCATGGCCCTACTTTGATCGATGCTCACCTCTGACCTCTGTCAGTCTTCCTCCCTCCACCCTAGGCATTCCACTTTGGCCTTCCCTTGCAATGCCTGGCTCCCTTCCTGCCCAGGGCCAGTGCACAAGCCATTCCTGTGTGGGCATCACTTCCACTGATCTATGTGTGGTCCATGCCCTCCTTTTGTTGAAGTTTCTGCTCAAATGTGATCTCTTCAGTCAGAAAGAAACTGGACAATTGAAAATAGGTATTAAAATATTAGAAGACCTCAAAATAAAATTGGAAAGAAGACAGAGCAACACACAGAGAAAAGAACAGCAAAAAACAAATAAAATTAGATCAAAATCAGGTGTCAATAGGTATATTAAATGGACATGGTAAAAAGATACTAAACAAAAGAATGAGAATATCAAATTGGAGTTTTGAAAAAGAGCTAGTATATTCTGAGTATAAAAAACACACTAAATATAATGATATAGATAGTAAATAAAAGACTAGACGATATATGTTGAAAAATATAAAAACAAAATAATGACCTTTGTGTAAGATGAAAACACCATTAGAATTAAATAAAAAACATAAAAATTATGCAGACAGAGAGAAACAGCAAAGGGTACAACAGTGAGTAATAAGAGATCAGATGAAGAACAAGACACAGTCATAAAACCCACTCATGGAAAAAAGTTTTCTGGGTCAGCTTGATTAACCAGTTAAGTGAGGTGAGCCCTGAAAGCACATCAGCTTAGTGGACAATTGTTTGACCTTCGCCAAAACACATGATCAGGATGGCTTTAGACTGGCATTGAGAGGTTAATGTTGGAGTGGAGCATTGGTTTATATGCTTTTCCCTTCCTGAAAACCTACCAGATGAGAGTAAAGGAACAAAATGATTTACTAAAAGTTAAAGTTAGTATAGACATGATGTTTAGCTATTGCACACTACTATTCTAGAGTTTGATGCCTTAAATTTAAATGTGAATGGACAGTCTTAGATCAAGAATCAGACATTTAACGCATATAAAATTGTTACCCAAAGAAACAAGTTATCATAGATGCATAAGGATGATGGTGGGGGGGCAGTGTGGAGTGGTGGCATAAGACAGCTAAACTCTATTCTGTGTAAGAAGTGAATAGATGTAAATACGATATCATATCCATGTTATTTAGGAATTTGAAGGTAAACACCAGAGTAAGGTGTAAAGGTAACCGCTTTAAAGGGTAGGGCTAGGAGTAAGGTGAAGTGGAACAGGGGATCGCTGTTTGGCATGTTAATTTTATAGTTTCCTTAGATGCTACTTACCATGTAATGAATTACTTGGGTAAGAATGAACAAACAAAAAGAAGTGTCTTTAGGTCCAGTTAACAAATTGTAAAATAATGATGGTCTTACTAAAATAAGTAATATGTTGGCAGAATTTGCATGTGGAGACAGTGTTAACTCCACTTCAGGGAGATTGGTGGTGACAAGAACTGGAAAGATATGGCCATTCATCATTTCTAGGGCAGGGAGTGTTGAGAGGAAGGCATGGCAAACTGGGTCAGTGAGACGGAGATATAGAAGACAGAAGTCATATCATGAAGCAAGTTCCCAGAGGAGATGCATAAGAATGCTCAGACACAGAAAGAGATATTTGATAGATGGCTTGATTAAATTATACTTGATTAAATTGCATTTGATTAGACAGTAGATTTCCTATTTCCATCCAAATGTTTGCATTTAGTATAAAAATTTGCTATGCTGTGCTTATAATAAGATTGGTCTGTGGTGATGCTGCTTCTCCCGTATGGTCTCCAAGTGGCTCAGTTTGCCCTTGCTACCCAATCTTTTACCCCTAGTAATGGCAGAAAACTCATTTCACCCCCTAAGACAGGCAGGCTCTTCTTCTCAGTCAGTGAGAGTTTATGGGAGGAAGACGGAAAAAACTATTGTTTAAGGTCCTGCTTCTCTGGTTGGGCAGTGTCTTTGGGGCAGGAGTGTGCTGGTCACTTTTATGAAGCAAGTCGGAAGGAATTCCTTTTTGCTATTCTGGAAGAAGGTACAGTCTCCCTACTGTCTAGCTAAGTTAAGTGAAGTAACACTCAAAGCTGCCCATGAAGATTCCTGCTGACTATCCCCTGAGGAGAAGATGCTGTTTTTGTTTCCTTTATAGGTTCTGGATGCTCCCCACATCACAGCAATCATTAAAACCAGTTGGTATCTACATAGTGCATCGCTTATGAACACAGCATTTAGTTTATAAGTATCTAAGTACTAATTCAGATTTAGTATTGTTCCCATTTTCTTTCATGTTGCAAAATGCTTTTGTAGGACTTTGAGAAGTGTACAAGTGTCAGTCATTGTCTTTGGTGGCTAAGACACCAAAATATGGAGAGTGTCCTGGGCCATGTTGGCAGGATCTCTTACAGACTCTGCAATCCAGTTCTTTAAAAGTGTTCCCCAGGGCCATCCAGGTTCATTTCAGCTTTCTTTGCAACCTCACATGCTAGGGTTAGAGTTTCCACTCCTCCACATCAGGGAGGCTTCTGGATCCAGAAGTGCGATTCCAAAAGTAGAAGCAGTCTTAACTACGCCCTCTTACTGGAATGGGTACTCAGCTGTAAAGCCAAAGAATTCCAAAGGTTCTTTCCAGGGGAGTTTCCTTCCTGTCTGGGCAAGGAAGTGTCTGGTGGTGTAGATGGGGTATAAACAATGAAGTCAATGAGACTCTTTGTTGCACACTGCAGGGAAGCACCACAGGAAAGTCCCCATTCTTAATGTGGAGGCAAGTAACACAAGATTCTGAGAGATTCGGAAGATGGGTTCGCTCCATCCATTCTCATTAGACGTGATGCTATGAACTAAAAATGAAGTTTTAAGAATATGTCTTGTTTTAATACTTCTGCGCATATATATCTATATATTTAATGTGGGGTTAAAGTTAGAAGGAATTTAAGAAAATACATGGAAAAATTAACAAGAATTTATAAAATCATTTCAGGATTTTAAACAAGCTGCACTGATAAGCCAGACTAGTGTGAGCCTTTGTCAAGCTACCGCCATGTGCCACCACAGGTAGGAGCACCACTGTTGTCAAAGGGGGAGCAAGAGGGTTCAGCAAAGTGTGACTGTGATAGATGACAGAAAATGAAGGAGAGACAGGGGCTTCCTCACATAGATGTGAGGGCCACTCTCTGTGTGTTGGTAGCCCCCTTCTGCCTTCTAAGAAACCGCTTTTTACCAAATCAGCAACTAAATACCTATGACATGGCATTGGAGATGTCCATCTGATTCAAGCCCACACAGTGGAAAAAACTTGTATAAGTAATATGTAGAATAAAATTAAGCATAGCTTGAAATATCTAGGCATAAAATAATTTGTTCATTCAGCCCATGTCCTGGGAAGATGGTGATTTAAAAAATGTATTTTAGGAATTGCAGCTGTTCCTCATCTAGCAGCAATCAGTTGTCAATATTCATTTAGATAAGATTGGGGTCTGCTGTTCATTTTCCCAGTTCTATGCTGGGTTACTGTCTGGGACTCTTTTGGGCCACCCTGGCCAACAACTCAAAGGAAGGTATCTCCTGTCTGGCATTGTTGCTTGTTATGTAGCCATCAGCTATACATATAGACTCTTAAAAAATTGTATTGACCCTGTTAATCTTTGGTTATACTTTCCTTTTGGGTGTTTAAGACTCTAAAATTGGCTCAGATGAACCAATTTATTTTTACTGCTAAGCTTGTTTGAAGATCTGTTCCTCAGGGGTCACATGGGCTTGGGAGGAGCCCGTGGCTCCCTTCTTTTACCAGTTCCATCTATGTGAAGATAAGTCAAAGGTCCTGCTCCACCATGGCTGGCTTCGCTTGGAAGCATGGAGGAAATGTTTCCTCTCTGTTGACCTTCCTCTTTGTAGACTGGACACTGGTTCACATCCATCTGGTGGGGTCTCCATGGCCTCCTTGATCAAGAGGACAGGTGACTCACCACAATTACAGGACATTTTGGGAGATGCTCATAGGCCCCTGGAACTTAGTCAACCTAGGAAGGAAAGGAGCAAAAACTGTCCTTTATGTCCCTCTGTCCAAATTAGTATAGGCCTCATAGTATGGCTGTTAAACATCCAAGAAGGTTAGTTCCACCAGCCTGGTACTTTTAATTACCATGTGCCGTGTAGATAGAGCTTGGCAAAGACCAAACTCTCTCAGATAAACGTTGCCTAGACATATATTCTTTGATCTGGTAGTATGTGTAATTTGTCAGTAGGTTGTTGGTCTAATATGGTTCTCTCTTGTTTTCTAAAACTAGGCATTGTTTACCTCTCACATTGTCTAGCAGCTAATCTTCCTGAAACAAGGATCTCTAGATAAGTTGGCTAGATTCAGCAGATGGACAAGCACTGGGGAATGGCTAGGGGTGCCAACAACACAGTGGACAGTAACAGGGATGACAGAGTATATGGGCTCCAGTGTGTGGGAGGGGGGAGGCTTATAGGAGGGTGCCATTTGGGAAGTGGGTATATAGATGAATAAGACTGTGTGGGATGTTCTGTATGATACACACACAGGAAAATCAACAAATTAATAAAAAAGACATATTTAAGGAGGAAGCATTAAAATTTACTTCATGTTAAATAGTAGAGGTGATAAACATTACCAGTGAAATCTGCCTGATGACTTTATATCCATACTCAGGTCCTAAGGATCCGAGTGTAACTGACTGTGACTAGTAATAATCAGATACATAGAGATTAAAGACACATGTGCAAACATCTAAGTGTTAGTAGCATTAAAAATGACTGGACACAGAACACAGTGGTGTGCGTGGGCTGGGGACAGGGCGCCAGATGCCCAGCATCAAAAATGACTGGACACAGAACACAGTGGTGTGCGTGGGCTGGAGATGGGGCGCCAGATGCCCAGCATCATTCTCCCTTTCTCTGTTTTCTTCTCAGGACTTAAAATTTAATTGTACCAGTAAAGAAATTAATTTTAATGTAAAAAATCTAGGAAACAGCATATTTTAAAATGAAATGGAGATCTTCTTTAAAGGCTAAAAACTCATTCAATTTTATGTCTTACAGGGTTTACACTGAATTCAATATTGTATAACTGTATTAATTCAACTGTGCACCTAAAAAATTACAGCCACTTTTGAAAGAGATGTATCTTTGCTCTGGTAATTGTTAATGAATATGTTAAAGCTGTAATGAAATGCTTCTTCTAATCATGTGGTTATTAAATAAATTTTTTTAAAAGTTTAAAAAGTGTATTTTAAAGTAATTTTTTTATAAAATGCAATTACAGAACTAAAACCAATTAAAACAAAACCACAAATGTCTACAAAATACATTAAGATTCACAAAAATATAATATTTAAGATGTCATTATCTTTTTCTAAGATCCTTATACACACACAAACCTCAGGTGACCTTATACACACAAACCTCAGGTGAGAACAGTTATATAGGGCTAAAATTGAAAATGGTTAATTTAAAGTACACTCAGATAATATTAGAACATAATATATATATATATATATATGTATATATATGGTCTTTGTTTACCATAATGTTTGCATTTCTACATGTGCATTTGACATTTGAGAATTAATTTTTGGTTATTTTGGTTTTAAAAGCATAGGGATTCCACATACATAGATTTAAAGAAATAATAACCCACAGCCTTCAGACCAATTGCACAGATTTTTTTATATATATAAAATGTTCTTGGTTAAATAATAATTTATAGAATTACTTTTTGGAAGAAAAACAATGGCATTTAATCAAAGGAGTACATTGGGATGGCTTATAAATTATGTAGGCTAGTCCGTCTATGCAAATATTTAGGTTAAGAGAGTAGAGCATCGTTTGTATTATTTAAGAAATTGGCATTCTTATTTTCCTTTTTAAGATATAGATGTACAGCCATGTTTTCTCATGGAAGTAAGGATCTTTATTTAAAGAACAAAGTGCACAACAGCTGGAAATTCTGCAGTTGCCTCTTTGGGTTAAAAACCTGGTCTCAAAAAAAAACAAAAAACAAAACCAAAAAACCAAAAACCTGGTCTCAGAATTTAATTTTATGTGACAGCAAAACACAGTCACACCATTGTCTATTTTAATCCACCAACCTTTGTATAATCCATCTCTTTCAGTAATTGTCATTCTTAAGAAGAGGTAGAATGGTAACTGATGTGTTTATTTTTGTGGGTGTGTGCAGACCAAAAATGTCTAAGGTCATTGCATTCTGTAAACATTTGAAACAGCCCACAATTTCTCTCAACCTTATGCCTATTTAACAACATTTAGAATCAGTAGGTTTCTTTCTGTATTGGATCACACCATCTTTTATGAAATGTAATCATGGTTTTATATACAGCAGAGCCTCCTTAAGCTGATACTGCTTTGCAATTCCAAATAACCAACTTTCATCAGCCCTCCAGGATCTCTATTGTTCTTTAATAAAAGTGGAATTTAAATCAACAGTAAAGCCCCGATAACTCAGAGTTCCAATTTCATGTGTATTGAGTTTTAACAGTTTTACTGAACTTAACAATAAGGAATATTGTGTGATTATATTTTTTCCAAAAATTTTTTTGGTAACATACTTAGACCATGAAAGAATGGCTTGTAACTATGGAGACTCACTTTGGGCATTTTATGATAGGGAAAATATTTTTTTATTTGGAAAAGCTTATAAAAGGAATAAACCTTTAAATTTTAGAGCTTTGATCTTTGAACTTATGGTGTTGAAGACTTTTGAAGTAGCCTTTGTATATTTCTGGTTCTCATTCTTGTGGTTGCTAGGAGACAACATTCCTTAGGCTGAATATCCTACTTATTGCCCAATTTAGTCACCAAGAGTGTTGTGGTAAAGTTAATTTTTAGATCTCTTTGAGAAAGTGACCTTTGTATTTTAAAAAATAATATAGAAGATTATTTGGTTGTATATCCCAAACACTTTCTGCCTTAGCACATTCATTTTAGCTATTTACATAAACTACTTTAAAATCTTTAACTCTGCAAGCCACACTCTTTAGTATTTGGAAGTATTTGTGATTTATTTGTACAACTCGGTAGGGCACATCTGTCTTGTATACGGTTAATGTAAATGCAGTAGGCTTCTGTATCTGTGGCCTCACAGGCAAACTCAGCAGGTTTATGAACAGACACTGCAAAATCAGGCATTTTCTGACAGTGATCACATGACTATATATATATTTCAGAAAACCTTTCAGTCTACTTTTGTATTGGTAATAGCTGATGCTTAGTGACATATCTCAGTGAATGTGTAACTTGAGGCTATGTAGATATTCTTCCAGATCTTCCCTTTGGGTACCTGCCATGTGATGGCCTAACAAGAGCTCCTACCTACAGGATGCTGTGATAGACACATCTCCAGGACAATGAAGTTGTGTTTTTTACAGCATGTTTCATTTTCTGCCTTGTTTATTGGTACAGGAAGCAGGGGAGTCCCTGTCTTCGACTCTGCCACCTGGCCTGGATCTTACTTTTAGTCATCATTAATTTTACAGTGCTTTCCAGGTGGCTTTCAAGATCCATTTCTGGCTTTTATGTTCAATGATTGTTTACTTAGCTGAATCGACTAGATGTTCATTAGTGTTGATAACTAGGTAAATATACAAAAAACTTCAATAACTGCTTTTAGCAATATGCCACTTATGTTACAGTCGTGAGCTTTGAGTCATTGTTCATTTGTTTCTATAGTTTTGTAATTGGTTAGGCTACATAAAAGGAAAGATTATATTTTATAAGCATTGTATCAGACTATGCACCCATAAAGAAGTTTTAATTTCTTGATGGGCAAGAAGGGAAGTGGATATGATGCAATTTGAGTATGTGTATAGTAAGAACATTTCAATAACATACAGAATAATGAGAGAAAAAAGATTTGCCTGGAAATTTCATTGCACACAACCCCGCCTCCATAAGTATGTATCATAAGTAAATACTTCGTTACCCATTGATGGAAATACTGAGCACAGGAAAACCATCAACAAACACATTTTACGCAGAATTACTATGGCATCTTTATTTGATAAAGAAAGTTATACCTTGTTTAGAATTACTGACGTGATATACTGAGAAGGCACTGTGCCCCTACATTCAAATCAACTTCCACATCTTAAATAGTGACAATTATTGAGAAAGGAGTGCAATTTCACTGTTAGCTTCATGTGATAATGATCTTATGGCGTTTGAGTAGCAGCACATAGAATGAACTCAGAAGTTACCACATGGAGCAAAAATGTGACTGCTGACTTTTGTCTGTGACATCAGAAGCCATGTGTCTGTAGTGCTTCAATGTTGATTTTTGTGTGATCTTCTACCAGAATACTCAATGCACATTTTTGGGTGGTGTTGGTCAAAACATGAAAATAGAATCTTGAATATTTTGGTTAATTTTTTAGTGTGGACAAGCATTAAAAAATATGTGCTAAAAAATGGAAGGGCGGCATTCTTGTTGGAGTCACAATGAAATAGGATACCCCTTTTGTTATAGAAAGAAGTATTAAGTACATATAAGGTTATCTTTAATATATGTCATGTACCCATTAATAATGGAGCAGACTCTGTGGGATGAGCCTTTAGACGTGCTTGTCTTTATGTGAACACAACAGAGTGTACTTACACAAACTAAGGTTGCTGTAATGTAAGCTTATGGGATCAACGTTGTGGTCTACTGAAAACCGTGACATTGTTAGGTGAACTGTGACTCTAATTTCAACAGCATATTTTTATCAGTAACAGCATATGATTTTCTGTATTGGTAATTCATAGTTAAAACAAAGTTTAGGACTATAATTTAGAATTTTATAACTTGAAAGTAGAATTCTGGGATAACTATACCATATGAAACTAGTTTTTGATTTTTTTACATTTATTTATTTATTTATTGTGTGTGTGTGTGTGTGTGTGTGTGTGTGTGTGTGCGCACAAGGACATGACCATGAGTGTAAGTTAAGGATAACTTGTGGGAGTTGGCTCTTTCCTTCTACCATATGGTTCCAGGGATTAAACTCACATCATCAGGCATGGCAGCAAGTGCCTTTGAAAATGGATTTTACTTCTCTTCTTCCACTTGCCAAAATCTTCAGAGAATCTTCTAGACTTCCTTAGGTCATACAGACTTATGTACTTAAGTTCCTATGTGGATAAGGAAAAGGGAAGATTTCTATAAGGGTCATGTTCAGGAAAACTGACTATATCACAAGAAAGCATCAGTTCACTGGAAGGCATCATGCTGTTTTTCTTTTTTCCAGAATTAAAGAGTTTGAAGAAGCTATTGATTTCTTTACCAAGGTTATTAAAATGAATGTATGTTTTCTGGATGCTTATGTTGGACGAGGGAATTCTTACATGGAGTTTGGACATGAGGAAGCCACCAAACTAGCACAGAAAGACTTTGTGAAAGCACTGCATATCAATCCATCATGTCGGAAAGCCAGAATTAGTCTAGGTTATAATTTGCAGGTAATATATAGCAGCATTTTGAGCTTTGAAAGTAAGGAGAAAGAATATAATTGGTCTTTTAGTGGTGATAAGACTGTTATCTCTCTGGTTATGAATGTTTAGCTTTCCTTTGGTATGGAGGGTAGCATTGGGGAGCAAGGGTTCAATTCATTGCAGGGAATGTGTTTAGACGAGCCACCTGGGGACCTGGAATGATCCTAGGACAAGGAATTTTTTTAATCCCAGATTTCTTTAATATCTATATCCCTCTTTACCGATATAAATAACTTAAAAAAACTCACCTCATGGACTATAGAGTAAGAACCAGGATAACATTTTTTCCACTAGGTTTTTCATTGATTGCATTGGGTATATCCTATTGAATTAGTGATTGATTAAACAGTAACTGAAGAATTTGAAATGGACTCTAGCCATGCAACAGGTCAGATAGAGAATTTCTAGAGACTTCTGAATTCAGTCATCTTCCACATAGCAGCTAATTAGAACTTCCCTGGAAGGCAGTAAGACAGGCGTCTGCCCTCTGGCAAGGTGGAAGGGTATGGTTCCTGGGACACTGTGACCTGACCCATACACTGAAATTTCAGAATTCACTGAGCTGTTTGCAATTTAGTAATCCAATAATGTAACCTCAATTTTCCTGTTTCAGACAGAGACAACTTCCTAGTAGAAATCAGGATCTAGTTCCTTTAGTGGTTATGTTTCTTTATGGCTTTATGTTGGAGTCACCAGTTCAGGCTAGTTAGAATGTATTAGCCTGTGAGATTCTGGCACTTTGAGGTTTCGAGCCTATGAGAAAAAGCACAAAGCTGGACATCCTGAATGACCTTATTGTTTTACTGTGGTTTGGTGTTTAGTTGCCAGCTGGTCTTCTCTAGAACAATGGCCCTGACATCCTTCTCTTAATGATACCTGTCACTTGACCTTTTTGCTTTTTCTCCAGTTGGCAACAAAGTTGGTATAAACAATGCTTGGTAGATTTACATGCATTTTCCATGGAATGCATACATTGGTCCTAAAATTCCAGATGCTCATATGATTGGTTTTATACCATTAATTCATTTATTTGTGTAGCATGTATTTATTTTGTTTTGTGTGTCATGCATATATTATAGATATCTGGATACTTTGTGCCAAGCAAATAAACACAATCTCTACCTGTATTTATGTATTAATGTATTTTGTGGGGCAATTATTAGAAGTATGGCTATTTCACATGACTTTATGTTGTTTAAGATTGGGATAATAGATAACTATTCAATTAAATTATTTTAACTAAAACTTGACCATAAGTACTGAGGTAATTAGCTAGTTGAAGATACTTGTACCCTGTTTTCTTATTTAAAATAACTTAGTTGTAGCACAGTATAAATACATATCCCACCACGATTTCAATGAGTGAGAATAATAGGTGTTTGCCATCTTATAGACTATTTCTTATCTCATGAACTTAAATAACTATTTTAGGCCCAAGGAAAATTCCAGAAAGCTTGGAATCATTTCACTATTGCCATAGAAGCTGATCCAAAGAACTACTTGGCCTATGAGGGACGAGCTGTGGTTTGTCTTCAGATGAGTAATAGTTTTGCTGCGATTCAGGATATTAACACTGCCTTAAAGGTAAAAATCTACTTAGATGATATTGTTATTAGCATACATTAACAGCATTGTATTAGTCACTGTTCTGTTGCTGTGATAGAAACACTGACCAAAGCAATTTACAGAAGGAAGAGTTTATTTGAGCTTACGGTTCCAGGGGAATTACAGTCTGCAACGGCAGGGAGGCATGGTGGCTGGAGGTGGCTGGAGCAGGAGCAGCAGAAGCTAAGCGCTCACATTATCACACTGGCACAGGAAACAAGAAGGCGACCTGAGATCTGGCAAAGCTTAAGAAATCTGTAAGCCCACCCCCAGTGGTGTGCTTCCTCCAGGATAGCCACACCTTCTAAAACGTCCCCAAACAGCACCATCATATGGTGACAAAATGTCCAAATGCTTGGAGCCTATGGGGGACATTTTCATTCAAACCACTACAAGCATCAATGAATAAATCCACATAAGAAGTTCTCCATTACCTTTGTAACATGGTATGTGGAGAAAATAAAGTATTATATCTTTTTTCCTTGAATGAGTCCTAGGGCAAAGGGTTATTATGGTTGATTTTGTAATCTAAACAGATTTAAGGTTCGAAAACAAATTCTTGTTAAACACAGATTCCTCTTAGCAAATGAAGTGAGAAAAAAGGAAAGAACTGAGAGCTAATTACTGCTAGATAGGACAAATAAGCATGTTAGCTGTTCAGTTTAATTTATCTTGTTTAACATGAGCAAACAGATAAATTTTCCCCATGTCTATCCCTTGGTAGGGATTTGAGTAAAGTACTAAAATTATTTGTTTTATGGCAGCCATATCAACAAAGTGTTGACAAGAAACCAATTTCATACCAAGCCCTTTCTGAAAATATTTGCTCTAATGGTGTTCTAACCTGCGCTATAAAATGACTGTTTCCCACAAGTGGATTTCATAACCATTCATTTTATAGACATGAAATTGGAGATTAATACTATTCTCAGATGCCAAATACTCATATAATTATATTGCAGATCAATACTACAGCAGAGTTCTTAACGAATCGTGGTGTCATTCATGAGTTTATGGGTCAGCAGCAGAATGCAATGAGAGACTATCAGGCTGCGATTTCTCTGGACCCCAAGTGCGCACTGGCTCACTTTAACGCTGGGAACATCTACTTCCATCACAGGCAGTTCTCTCAGGCAATGTGCATTTTCTTCCACATTTTCTTTTTGACATGAAATGCTTTCCGTTTACGTAGTTCTGAAGTAAAACCTTGATGTTTCAGGCCTTATTCATTAGCTCCTTTTTGAAAAATAATGTCCTCTTTCCCAAGAATGTTCTAATTATCCATTAAATGTTCTCAGTTGCACGATTTTATTCTTCTACGTATTGCTGACTATTCAATACTGGCCCAGCAAACTCTGTTTGGGATTTTCCAGAGTTCGTCCCTCTCCTTTATTTAGCCAGCTTTCAGGATGGTGTTGGGGGCCTCTGTTATGTGAAGTAGAAGTCTCTTCATATCCGGATAGCTCACGAGCTTGGAACCATGTGCTGGGACTCCTTTCATAGCAGGGTGCCTTCCTGGCATTTTTCCTGACTCTCCTTTTGAAGTGCCCGCCATAAATGCCCTAACATAAACATGGCCTCTGGCTCTAGGAATACCATGCTTTCCTGTGTGATTTTTCAGGCAGTCAGCGGTCTGGCAGCATGGCAGAAACCCACTTCCATATGCAAATAGAATGTCTCACAAAGTATCTATCAGCCAAAGCTTTTACCACTACCCCCATGGTATAAATATCCCAGTCTTCTCTCAATAATTTGGAGCTAGAAGCGGAGCTGGAGCTAGAGCAGGAACTGGGTCACTGAGACTTGGAATAAAGAGCTGTACCACGGAATCTGACTGAGCTGAGTCTGTGTCTCCTGCTTGCAATCTAGTCTCCCCGGGGGCAGCATTCCTCCGTCACCGGCTCACGGATCCCAGCTTCAGCCGCCTCGTACTTTCCCACCCCTGAGCCAGTGGCCAGTGGATCTCGCATCAAGAGGAAAGCGGATGGGGGAAAATTAAGGCGGTACACGCTGGACAACGCTCCAGCAGCAGAGACCCACAGAGACACGGAGAAGCCCGCAGGGCCAGACCCGCCTTCTTCCAGGGCGCGCGGCTGAGACCAGGGGACCAATCCCCGTGCCTCAACTCTCCAGGTGTGCCCGCGCATACCACGCCAGGGCGCCCAGCGTGCGCGTACTATAGATGGAGTACTGGGTTCTTTTGTGTACTCAGATTTTCCTCAGCACCCTCTCTATGGTGGGAGCGACTAACTCATCTTCATTTTACCTTTTCTAAATGTCAGGTGCACTAGGAATAAAGAGACTTGGGTTTCAGTTTTGGTTTTGTGTGGTCCCTTAATCTATTCCCATTTCGATTTATAATCCCTGAAATAGGTGGCGTGTATGTTTAAATGTACTGTGTTTGCATTGGAATGTACTTACAGGATTTAATCTCTTATAAACCTTTTAATTTTTGTCTTTTTACCTGTAGTCACACTTACCGTTCTTTCCTTTAGTTTACTTTATTGTTCTTTGCCATTTTAAGTTGACTGAATTCGTTTGTCATCACTCTTTAATTCACACTATGATAATTTATTACTGTTATGTCTATTTTCCAAGTACTGTTTTGACAGTATCCCATATATTTTTGGTTTATAATTTTTTTAAAAAATGAGTAAAATACACATAACATAAAGTTTATCATCTTAATCATTTTTAAATTACGGTTCAGTTATGATAAATCTATGCTGTAATGTTACCCCAGAATTTTGCACTTATAATTTGAATTTCCCCCTTAACCCAAGAATAAATCAATTGGGAATTTAATGGAGTGGAAGGATTTTTATATTTTCTACATTTTATGGTCTATCAAACAGATTTTACTGTGTGTTGTGTTTTCTATGACTTTTTAGAGTTTCCTGATATTTAGGAAGGTTTATAGTTTTGTTCTAATGACTATAAAAATAACTAAGACCCTTAGTTCCTTATTTCTTTACATTCTCTACCAAGAACAAAAATTAACACAAATATATGACCCTGTAACCTTCATCATTTTTGTTTAAATTTTATGAGGTAGTCTTACTATGTAGCCCAGACTAGCCTCTAACTTATGATCCTCTTGCTTTCCCCTCTAGAGTGGTCATTCCTGGGATTACAGGTGTGTGTGTGTGTGTGTGTGTGTGTGTGTGTGTGTGTGTGTGTGTGTGTGTGGTGTCCATGCTGACTATAGCCTTCAAGACAGGGGAAAAGACCCCAGCCTGCATATATCCATTCTAACTACCTCCTTCATGTCCCTCCTGATCTTCACAGTCTTCTGTGACACTGGCCTCTTGAGTCAGTGTCTGCAGTAGCTGCCTCTCAGTTTCTATGTCACCTTAAATTTTCCAAACCTCTTATTTATTGTAGCCTCTGCCTCCACTGCTCCTTCAGCTTGTTCTTGCCCATATCTACAGTCACCCTTCCAATCCCCTCTCAGCAGCATTTGACATAGGGCACTTATCACTTCATAAAGCACTGTATTCTCTAGGTGATATCATTCTGTCCTGTCTTTCTTCCCATCATCCTGGCTGCATATTCCATTCTCTGTCACAGCCCTTTAACAACTTGCTGAGCTTTGTGATGAGTCTGGTCGATCTCAGGAAGGAAGTTGTATGTGAGGACAGGCATCTCAGGTATAATTGTTGTGAGACCTGGATAGGGTTTTCATTGCTCAGATACCAGTGGACAGCTGGGTTTCCAGAATGAAAGGCCAAATAAATTGCCTTATAGTCATTAATCTCAGATCATTCTCTAGCTGAGTCACTGAAATATTTATTTGCATTTAGAGTTAATTAAAGAGGCTGGGCCTGGTGGTACAAGCCTGTAATCTCAACTACTTGGAAGACTGAGGGAGGAAGACTGCAAGTTCAAGGCCAGCCTGAGCAATTTAGTGACACTCTGTCTGAAAAATCCCTGGAGATACTTTTGTGATGGGGTGCTTGTTTGATGTGTGTGAGGTCCTATGTTCAGTCTCCATTACCACCCAAGACATACTCATGAGATCAAGAAAAACAAAATGTCCAGGGCAATGTTCTGTTTCTATAAATGATTAAGTTCTGCAAGATAGGAGATCTTTACCTTTTAAATGTATCTTTAATAACTCAGTGGTCATTGTGAATGGAGTTATTGGTTTAGCTCTAACATGCAGCCTGAATTTTAAAAAAAATTAAAGGTCTTAATTCCCTTCATGTTACAGAAACATTAGTTGGACAAATATTTCACCTGAAATGTGCTCCATCCTGTCTTGATGCTTTGGATGTTTGGGCTTTATTGAGCACAGGCTGTCCTTCCAGAAACAAGCAAGTGTTGACTGCAGCTATACAGCTGCTGTGTTTGGATTTCCCCTGTGGAGAAAATGATTTCTATGTTCACCCTCTCCCCCACCCTGTGCAATTGTTTCTGAAGGAAGAGCAAGGCTTAGGAGGAAGGGTTCCTCATCAGGGCAAACAATCTCTAGAGAGTTAAAACACATACCTGATCCGACTTCTTTTTTATCTGGTTAGTAACTCACCAAACTAAAAATCACATTTGGATGGGATACTTGATTACCTCTGGATGACTTTAAAAATAATAGGATCTGTTTTATAATAAGCAATTTAGTATAGAAATGAGGACATTGTTTAAAATAAAAGGTTCTAATTGCTCATCTTCTAACTCTTTCATATTCCTCTACTTCAAGTTATCTTATTAAGATAATGGGTTTTCTACTTTCTAAGTAATACATGCTGTTTAGAATTAAGTGCACTATTCATGCTTGGCTCCTACATTCCGGATAGAAAACACACTTTTGTGATTATAATCGTGTAGTGTTTACATAATTTGTTGGTGAGTTAGACTGAGGTATAGATTACTTTATGATGAAATAATGCTTGGAGTCAATCTTCTACTTCCTATGTCTGTGAATGCAACCTTTTCATCAGGACCGAATTATCCTTACACTCTTCACAGATGGATGCCAATTCTGCCCCTGTCTCAATGGCTCTTTAAATTGCACATGACTGTAGCATCAAATCGCTGCCATCAAGGATGAGAAAAGTTATACAATCTTGATGTAATTGCTCCTCAAAAGCCAGAGGAAGTGAAGTTCTTGGAGAATTTCCTGAAGGCTGTGCAGCCTTTTTATTTATAGGCATGAAAAAAATCGATGTATCAGTATAATGGAGTGAATCCTACTACTTTTTGCATAGTCCCTTCAGTACTCAGCATATTGGATCACTTCATACTTGTATCATCAGTAGAAGGGGAGCTTTTCTGGAAGATGAAGAAATTAATTCCAACAGAGATTTATAATTCAACCAAGGTAGAGGCAGGATTTGAACCCAGACTCCTGGGTTTGAGTTGCAACTATCATGCCATCATTATTTATGTATATGAATACATACTGTAATATATAAATATATATTGGTAGAGGTAAATGGAGGAGAGATCCTCAGGAAACATGGAGGGAAATAGTTTTGTGAAAAGAGAAAATGATCTGAGAGGTCAGATAAGAGCAGGGAGACTCAAAGAGAGAGAATTTTAAGGATAGAAAGATGAAGTGTATCTGTAGCACAGAAATGCTTTGGGAGGAAAATGTTCATGAGGCTTGAGGTCACTTACACCTTTAGCAAGAGAGGAACTCAGAGAAAGGGAGGGGCAGGAAGGCGGTTGCGAAGAGACTGAGAGGGGTGCAGCCTGGGAGGACAGCCTGAGCACGGACACAGACTTTCCCTTGGAAGCAAAATTTAATGTAGGAGTCAAGAGTTTCATTCCTCAGGGAGTTAGAAATCACTCTCCTAATTTGAATAGAAGGGTGTCACATCAGCATCTCAGCATTTTTGTAGTAAAAGATCCAGTTTTTAAAAAATTCCACTTATAGTGCATCAGTACTCTTAAAACAATAAAAATGAATTGTTAAATGATCATGTTATCAAATGCCATAATCATGTCAAAATACAATAAAAGTTACTTGTTTAGTTTCAACTTTGCAGCCTCGTACTAGGTTCTTGGACAAGGACCTCAGGATTTCATCTTGAGGGTCTCTTTGTGAACTGATAAATTTGTGTACCATTAAAAAGAAAAGCATTGACAGATTTTACTGGGCATCAGAATAGATTTGCAAAAAGGAGATACAAGTTCAGTAAGAAAGCAAGCAAGTTCTATCAAGCAGAAGGAGAAATGGAGTTTTAGAACAGCAGTGGCAATAAGATGAGGGAAGTAAAATGCCTTGACAATTTTTGATTGGCCCTATTGTGTGCACACATTGTTGTGATTAATTTTAGCCTTTAACCAAGGTTTTATTCACATATTAAACTGTGCATAATTGCTCACTAGGGGGCTATTGGGAAGGGGCTGTCAATGGTGATGTCTTTTAAAACAGTCAGCAAGTCAACAGAAGTTTTACAGTTGGAAACTATTGTACATTCTTTCCAGACCACCCTCCTTATCTAGAAGCTAACGATCAAGCAATTTGTGTCTATGAGGTAAATTGCATCCAGCCAAGTGCAATTTGAGGCTCACAGAGAGGTTTTGCCCTATCTTTTAAGAACTGCAGCCATCTTCTTTTTGATATTCACATCTTCCAAGTCTATGGTCAACTGTGAATCTTTTAGTCTTTAATTTTATCAGCAAGTTGATTTTTTCCCTCTCCCTTTCTTTCTTATAACTTAATTTATTTATTTCCATTTTACATGTATGAGTGTTTTGCCTGCATATATGTGACCTGTGTGTGCAATGCCCATGGAAGCCAGAAGAGGGCATCCAATCCCGTAGAACTGGGGTTACAGCAGTTGTTAGCCACCATGTGGGTGCTGGGAACCAAACCTGCATCCTCTGAAAGAGCAGCCAGTGCTCATAATGCTGAGCCGGTTCTCTTTGCAACTTTTCATAGTATAACAAAGTTTATGTTCATTTTGGTATGGTTTAGACTCTTCCTTTGAAAACTTATTTCTGTCTTCATTTCTTACTGTTTTTATATGCAAGTTATTGATTACCTAATTTTATCTTATGTCTGGTCTTTTTGTTTGGACTTATTACTTTTGTTATTATTATTCTATACAGGGATATAAGTTCTGGGTGGCAGGCAGTGGGGACATTTAATTCTAGCAAGTATTTTACCACTGGTATTGTCTAGAATTGCTGACATAGTGTTAAACTTTGAACCATATATGTCTTATGGAGGCCCATGAGCTGAAGGCTTGGTCAGATGCTGTTGGGAAGTGTTAGAATTTGTAGGTTGGGAGGCCTGGCAGAAGGAAGTTAGGTCAGTGGGGCATGTTCTAGAAGGAGATACTTGAACCCTGATGCCCCCTCCCTCTCTGCTTCCTGGCTGCCATGTGGTGAGCAGTCTCTGCTGACACATGCTCCACTGTGATCTACTTTAGGGACACAAACCCAAAGCAACAGGGCCAAAGGACTAGAGTGTGAAACCCCAGAAACAGCCTGACAAAAGCAGATCTCTTCTATTAGTTCGATTATCTCAGACATTGTTTCACAGTGATAGAGAATGAACTAAACGTGATTGAAAACAAGACAAACAACAACAGCAAAAGGCCAACTTTTCTTATTTTTCTTGTGACTGTGTACCTCTGAATCTGGGATAAAATGCCTTCTCTGCCACCTTGGAGAACAATTAGAGTTAGTTTTAAATTAAGAATAAAAGAACTTCACATTTCTAGATAGCTGCCAATTAAAATACATTTAAAATATCATTGTTCTTGCATTTTATAGGCCAGTGACTACTTTTCAAAAGCTCTACAGTTTAATCCAAAAAACGACTATGCTCTCATGAATCGAGCTGTTGCAAACACAATGTTAGAGAAATATGAAGAAGCAAAAGAAGATTTTTCACGTGCAATTGAAAACTGTCCCAATTGGGCTGCATTGTATTTTAATAGAGCAAGTTTCTATTTCTGTTTGAAGCAGTATGAGTTAGCTGAAGAAGACCTCAGCAAAGGTATTTCATGTAATTATTTTGATAAGATTATAAAAGTTAGTATGTTTAATTTCAAACTGAAAAAGAAGAAAGTCATCAGGTTTTTTGTTTAGCTAGAATCAATGTATGTATACCATGTCTTTAATGTAATCAGTAAAGATTCCTTTATGTAATATCTTAACTCAAAGCTTTGGTAAGCTGAATTATAGAAAAGTATTAGGAAATTACACATAATGCCAGTCTTTCAAAGAAAGATGTTGTACTATGATTTCCAAATTAGTTTTTCTAGAAACATTCAATATTTAAAATTGCATTATATTATTAAATTTGAAAAAATGCTTTCACATGAGTGCTATCAAAGATTTGAAAAACTTCATTTTTTAAAAAGTTTTTGCATCAAAATATCTAGACTGATTTTTTTTTCTTTCACAGCCCTGTCTTTGAAGCCTGATGAGGCTCTCATGTATTATCTCAGAGCTGAAGTTCGTGGCAAAATAGGACGGATGGAAGAAGCCATGGCTGATTATAACCAAGCACTTGATCTTGAAGAATATGTCTCAACTAAATGATTCCATAGACTGTCATGGCTTCTGTAGTACATTAAATAACTTTTCTTCCTGAAACTGAAATATATTTATTCTTTAGAAATTCAGTTCACATTTGTTTTTGTATTTAATATACTTAGTCTTCTATATAACCATCTAATGTATTTTTAAATGTTTATGTTGTACATTGATTACAAAACTTTTTACCATTCCAAACAAGTTTGGAATACTTATAGTTGAATTTCTTTATGGGATACAAGATTTAAACGGGAATGTTTCACAAAGAATGTTAATGCCTAAAATATTGCCATTAATGTAAAAGAAAATCCTCTGAAAATAGTAGCCTATGATGCTAGAAAAAGTATCGATTTTTTCATCAGTTTATAATCAAACATATTCAACAGTATCCAGATGAGTATAAAAAATTAAATCTACTGTACTTCCTCTTCTCTTCTTTAAGCCTTGTACATACTTGCCTGGTTCCTGGTATGCATGTTCCTCCAACACATAAGACATATTTCTTTTTCACATACTACTAGCCTTCTAGGAGAACCCCAACAAGGATTTTGAGCTTCCCATTTCCCTGAAATAATTTCTTCTTCTAATTCAGATTTCATAAATGTATAAATAAATGTAGATTTCATAAATATTTATTTTAAAACTATTTTATCTATTATTTTTATTTTTTATGTATATGTCTGTATTGCCTGCATATATGTAAGTGCATCCATGTCATGCAGTGCCCATGGGGGACAGAAGAGGGTGTCAGATCCTTCTGGAACTGGAGTTACAAATGGTTGTTAGCTGCCATGTACTTTTAACCACTGAGCCATCTTTCCAGCCCCCAGATTTCATATGTATAAAAATCTGAGTATGCTTATGATTAGTGTTTCTTACCAGTTAGTGAATAAAAGTGAAACAGTTAATTTTGTTTGTTTTTCAGGAAAAGTTTACTATGCAGCCCAAGTTGGCCTTGAACTCACGTTCATTCTGCCTTGGTCTCCCGAGTACTAGGATTTCAGGGCTGGGCCACTGTGTCTGCTTAACAGTTCATTATGGGATGCTTCTGAGGGATCTTTGTGTGAACCAGATAACTTTTTCATTTTACCTCATTGACACTGAACAAGGCTTCTTGACTTCTAGTTCACTCAAAGTTGCTTCACTTAGTTTATTTTCCTTCTTTCTATTTTTTCCTAACACATCTCCAGACCCTTAGAGAATTGTTTTCATGGTGATAGGTCATGTTACAATGACCATTTCTGTCCATCCAACTTCCTTTAATTTTAGTTTGATGTCCAATCCTTCACAATAGAAAATTGATTGTAGTTTGTAAGCTACAGTGAGGACACATCGTATCATTCTAGGATAATTTTCCTGGCATGATACATGAATCCAGGTGAGCATTGGCTCATCCCTAGTTAGTTATTTTAACTGGTAAATAAAATACACTTAACATGTATTTTGGGACCTTCTTGCTCTCACTTCTCTCCAGACCCTTTTGTCCCTGCTTTAACCACAGGTGTGATTCAAACTGATCTCTTGTACCCACAGACAGTCTCTTTCCTTCTGAGACACATATCTGTCCCTGACTGTCCTGGGATTCATTGCCAAATTTGAAATGTTGGATGCTGGGGATTCTCTTACTGCCCACCCTGCACCCTGCAGATGTGCAGGAGACATGTGCTTCTGTCAGGTGAAACTTTGAAGATGATACAAGGAAGTGACTGCTAGAGACGGTCTTGTGCTGAGTTTAAAAAGGGAAAGCAAATGAAGCACCAGTGTTCATCTCTCTCCTAATTGCACATGCAGCATGATGAGCTGCCTCATGCTTCTGCCAATGTAACTTCCCTTAAACTGTGAGCCCAAATAAACCCCCTTCTTTCTTAGCCTGATTTTGTTAGGTGTTTTGTCACAGCACTGAGAAAAGTAACTCACACAGAAAACTGGTACTGAGGAGTAAGGCTGTTTCTGTGACAAACATAATCATGTAATTCTTAGACTTTTGGAAATGGTTTGCAGAAAGAATGTGAAAGAATTTGAAAATGCAGTGCTCTAAACAAGAGCTTAATGGACTATTCTTGTGGGAGTTTGAAATAACAGAATTCCAAGAGCAGTGCGGATACTAGAGACCCAGCTCATGAGGTTTTAGGGAGTGTGGGGACTTGGTGATAGATAACAACTCAGCAGTCAGGAGAAGCAAAGACCATATGGGCAGGGTGATAAAAAAATGGAAACCTAACAGTTCTGGGAAACAGAAACCTAGCCCTGGAGAGGACAGGAACTTGGCAGTTCTGGGAAACTGAAACCTAACATGCTAAATAAGTCATGTGCTCATGACCAATCATATCTCGAGATGAAATAAGGGAGGCACACTCAGTGTTCACAAGTGTATATAAACACTTGCCTAAAGCTTTAATAAACGAGATCTTGCTAGACAAGACTTCCTACCTCCTTGGTGGTGCCTCAGGAACAGAGGGTTAGGACGGCAGCGCACTCCCCCTCCTCGGCCCCGTCTGCTGTGTGCCGAAGAGGACCCCTGCAAGGGAGGAACAAGGACTCTGTTAAAAACGGGGTTAGATGCAATTCGTGTTATATTCTGTCAAAGAATTTGGCATCCTAAGAACTTAACTGAGGTGGAATTCGAAAGCAATGGGCTAATTAGTTTGGCAGAGCAAATTTCAAGCAGTATAGCATTTGGGTTGAGGCATGGTTACTACTCACTGCTGTTATCCCATCCACAGGGAATGAAGAATGAGTGGAGCATAAAGAAATGAAAAATATGCAGTTTGGTGAGGAAAGAAGTTTGAGAAAATTTAAAGACACAGACAATGTGGGTATGAAGAAAGTAGCAATAACTGTTAAAGAAATTGGCACTTTTAAATAGAAACTTTGTGCTCTGTACTGTATAATAAGAAAGAGGCCCTACGGACAAAAACCCACCCAACAGTGCCTCAAATTTGTGAAAATATGAATGTATTTGAAAGGAGAGAGCCTTAATGGAAAGTGCTACCACATGGGCACCCTGCTGTAAAATGGGTGCCTAGAGAAGTGTTTTCCCAGGGCCAGCCTTGAAGATGCACAGAGGCCACTGAAACTGTGATCCAAGAGCATTATACTGGCAGCAGATCTTGGGAATGTGAGTCGAATGGGGTTGGGTTTATAAGCACACAAAGCATAGGAATTACAGGGTGTTGAAGGCTTGAATCAAGGGCTCAGAAAGCTGCTGAACTTGACAATGTGTGGCAGCACTCTCTCTGCAAGGACTTACTGAGAGGTAGTCATTGCCTGAAAGTATGAAGGTGAAACCTAAATTTAAATAGAGACCACAAGATACTACCAATGTCAGGACCTTGAGACATCCATCAAGGAAAACCATTGGCCAGGATTGGAGTTGATCCAAAAGAAAGGCTCTATGTGTTGCAGGTGGCAGAGCTGGAGGGTAAAACTGCACAAGGCCAAATGATTTCATCATAAGCCCAAGTGCCATAAATAGAGCTGCAAGTATTTGTTGTCTGTCTTGCTGTGGCTTTGCCTTGCTTTGGCCTGAATTTCCTTGGCTATACCTCATTTCTCCCCTTTGGAGTAGGAATGTTAACTGTGCTATATTGGAATAAAGTGACTTTAAAAATATTTTATTATTTTTCTTTTAGGTGGATGTATGACTGTTTTGCCTGCATGTATGTAAGTGCATTACCTGCATATAATGCCCATGGGGACTAGAAGAGGTTGTCAGATCCCCTGGAAGTAGAGTTAGGGACAGTTGTTAGCTGTCATGTGGGTGCTGGGATTTGAACTTGGGACCTCTGGAAGAAAGCAAGTGTGCCTAGAACTCCCTATAAGACCAGGCTGGCTTTGATTTCATAGAGATCAGCCTGCCTCTGCCTCTGGAGTATTAGAATTAAAGGCCTGTGCCCCCACACCCAGCTCACAATATTATTATTTGATGGGTTTAGATGGAGAGAAACCAGAGGGAGGGAGAAGAAAACATTAATGCCTATTGATTTGGGAAAGGGGGTAAACAAACAGCATAAGCTGATTGGTGCCTGGCAAGTTGGAGCCAGAAGCAGCAAACTTGTAGTTTGAGAACCCCAGTCTGTATTCTTAGCATGAAGTAGTAGTTAAGATCTTAGCTTCTAGACAGTTTCAATGTCATAAAAAGTGTTGGCAAATGTCTTAAAATCATGATTTTCAAAAATAACAGGAACTTTAATGAACTTTGAGATTCCAGGGATGATCAGCACTTACTCTCCTCCCTTGCCTTTGCCTGGGTGATTTGCTCTTAGGAAGGAATTTCCTTGTCTAGGAGGGTGGCTTCCATCTCTTGTTATACAGTCCTATGACACAGATTTGTTCTTTAGAAATACGTTTCACATTTGTGTATCCTTGTTTGAAGGCTTTCTTCCTTACTAGAGTGGAAACTCCATGGGGGTGAGGATCCTGTCTATTCATCTCTGCATCATTGATGATTATCACAGTCCTTGGCACATAGCTGTTTAATGCATTAATTCAATATAAAAACATGTTTTCACACTCACATAGGACATTATAGCTAAACACACTACAGACAGATGGTGTACTACTTTCCACATTAAAGAGAACATGCCTGTGATGGTCTAGGCAAATCTAGGCACTAAAGTCAGAGCAGGGACAGCATTATCATGGGTTTAATTCACCGAACCATAAAATCATTCAGTTACTTCTTTTTCCTGATTCTATTTTATTCAAGAAAACTTGTACTGATACTTTATTTTTTCAGTGGAAATGTTAAATAAAATATGTATTACAATAATATTCTATGTCACTATAAACAAATTATACACATACAGGCCATCCTAGAATTTGCTTTGTAGCTCAGGCTGGCCTCAGAATTTAGACACTCCTCCTATTTGAACCTTTCTGTGCTGGGATTACAGGCATGAGCTCCCACACCTGACTCTTATTTACTTCTTAATCATTTAGCACATTTTGGCCTTACAATAATAAAAATATAAGATCATCTCCCTTTCTCAAATTAGTTTGTTGGT